GCGCGGCAGGCGCGGCAGCGGCGGCGGTGGCGGCAGGGAGGCCGCGCGGCTCAGCGGCGGCCCCGGGAACCGGGGCCCATGCACAATCGCGGCGGGCGGGCGGCTCGTCCTGTGCGCCGTAACCGGGCGGCGATCTCTGCATTCCAGCTGGGCGCGGCCTGGGCGGGACAAGCGCGGAGCGCGGTGGTCTGGCGGGCTCCGGGCGGTGGTGGCTCTAGGACTGGTGTCTTGGCACCCGGCGGGCGTTCAGATATAGCGGCTCGGGGCCAATGGGCGGAGGGCGGGCGGGGCGCCGGCGGGCGGGCCCCCTTCCCCGGGGTTTCCTTTCTTCTCGGTCGGATTCTGTGAGGCCTCCCTAGAGCGGCGCCCCTCCCCCGCCTTCTCTGAGAGGGAGACCCCCGAGTGGGAAGGGGCTGCTGCTGCGGCTAGGACTCGAAGCGGGGCTTCTCTTGGGGGAGCTGACGGGCTTTCAAGTCAAGCTGTTGCCGCCCCACCCACGGAGTCGCCCCAGGCGGTAGTTGGGGGAGGGTGGCCATGGCCAGCTAGCTATCCCGTCCCCCACCCCAGGTTTTTCTAGGAAGAGGGGGCATCTATTTCAACACCGAGTTCTCTGGGACATCCTCCTACCCGTAAGTCCTCCCTCGAGTCTAACTTCAAACGAAAGCAGTCCGTGGGAAAGCCGCCGTGCACTGGAAGGGACACTCTGTAAGAAAGAGGTCACCCAGGACATTAATTCATTCTTGTCTCCAACCTTCCAGACACAGGTGGACCTCTAAGCACCGAGATCTTAGAAACCCACCCCCTACCCCCGCCCCTCCAAATCTGCTGTGGAGTTAAAGCAGTCCATTTTCTTGCCCCCTCCCCCACTGGGGTGTCCATGCTCTGGATGCTGGGAGGAGAAGGGAGAGAGCAGATGCCCCTGTCCCTGCTTCTTATTGTCATGGTTCCTCCCCATGGAGGGGTCCCGGACTTAGGTCCTGCCCCCACAGTCCATTGGGTTCTGTCAGCTGGTGAACCCGATCCTGTGGGGTCTATAGTGTCTCCCCCTGTTTCTTGGTGGGCTTCAGTGTCTCCCATTTGGGTGCTGTGGCATGTCCAGCCTGTCCCTAGGTCATGTAGAGTCTCAGTCTGAGGAGTGTTGTTGATTCTGACTCATAGTGACCCTGTACGTGGTTTCCGAGGAGCGCCTGGTGAGCTTGAACTGCTGACCTCGCGGTTCAAACTGACCTTGTAATCCAGTGCGTTAACCCGCAGTGCCACACCAGGCCTACTCCAAACTCTGGGTTGCAAGGTCTGGCTTAGCCTGGCAGTGGCTGGCCTGAGGTAAGTTAGTTACTATGTCTGGGTAGGACCAGCCCCCAGAGTCCAGAGTTTTCAGAGCTGCTGCAGTCAGCGTCCGGCATTACCTCACCACCCACCACCCTGCCCCCCTCCTCCAGGCTGCTTGCCTGGCGCCAGACAGTGACCCTCCCCTGGGCCAGGCTGTGTACTGCTCAGGTGTCTGGCGTCACGTCTTGTGCACTGGTTGTAGGGGGACAGGGCAGGGACCCTGGAGCAGCCCTGTGCACACTGCCAGGTGGGGATTGGTGGGGGCCTAGCCACTGACCAGAAGAGGCCCCAGTGGGTGTAGAGCAGGGGTTCTCCAGGGCTGTACAAGGCAGGTGTGGGTGCAGCCCAGTCCTGAGCTGTGTGTGCTGTGGCATTGGCCAAGTGTGTCTGTCTGTCTCTGTGTGTGTGTGTGTGTTGAACCCTGGTGCTGAGGCTTTGGGGGCTGGACAGAGGCTACACTTGTTGAGGAGACACTGGTACCTGGCCCAGGGGGTCTGCTCAGTGAGGCCTCAGCTCCAAGGCCCATAAAGGGAGAGGTCCCGGAGGTTTCTCTGGATATGAGATGTGGCCCCCGCTCATCCAAAGGGGAGGGGGGTAATTCACAAGTCTAGGGTCATTCTTACACTTTTGGCTCCCCCCTCCCCCACGGTCACAGGCTGGCTTGATTTTGGTGGACTGCTCCACCCTTAAGAAGGGGCCCTTAAGAAGGGTCTGCAATTCCCAGCCTCCATAGAGAAAAGATGGAGAGTGGACACCACCCTCTGCTCTCCTTCAGCTTGGACTGGACCCCCAGCCTCCAGGGGAGACTCAAAGAGGATGCTGGGCCTTCCTCCTTGGTGACTCTGGGTGGGGGCTTGGCTCTGCTCCGGGCTGGGGGTGGCGGGACCTCCCAGGCGCTGCCCCGGGCGCAGACCTCACAGGCTCTCACCAGCCAGCCCCCTGGCGGCTGCCGAAGCAGCGGGGCTGGGACCAATTACCAAGTCCGGGGCCTGGGGCTCTCCTCCCGGAGTGGGGGGTCCTCTGTCAGCTGAGGCGCCAGGTGACTGGGACTCTCTGCTCTGATCCAAGTTCTCAGGGCCGCCCCTGTCATCTGCGCCTCTCTGAGAGAAGCAACAGCATGTGGCCCATGGGTAGTTGGGCACTAGTGTGGCACCAGTAGCTGGGGAGGGCCCTCGGGCTCTTTTCTGGGGATGGTGGGGTTTCCTGTCCCTGCTGTCCTGTCTCAGTTCCAAGGTGCTGAGCCTGGCCTGCGATGAGTGCCGCCAGCCCCACATCTAGAAAGGAACTGGGGGCACTCAAGGGGTGCTTTGTGCTTTCCCAGGTGGACACAACAAGTGTGAGAGGGCATGAGCAGGCAGAAGTGGGCGTGAGTGTGAGCGTGAATGGGTGTGAGCATGTGTGTGCGTAGGAGTATTCATGAACAGCCATGTGTGTGACTGTGCGTGAGTGAAGGTGTACAGGCTGGAACATGGATGTATGAGCGGATTTAAGTGTGCATGAGTGTGTGAGTACACATGTTTGCCCACCAGGTTGTGGGGAGGTGTCGTCTGTGTTCATGTGCATGACTTAACCATAGTCTTGAGGACCCAGGGAGTTGGCCCAGTGGTGTCAATGTTGGCGTCTTGAGGTGTAAGTGGGATGTAGCAAGTCTAAAGGGCTGCTGGGCCAGCTGTGTGTGGTGGCTGGGATCCTGTCCACTGGGTGCTGTGGGACCTCTAGGCTGTAGGGGCTGAAGACATACCTGCTCTGTCTTGCTAGGTTAGGTCACACACAGAGGAGGGGCTGGCCTTGGCTTTGTGGGTGCTGCTGACAGATGCCCGCTGACAGATGCCCACCGACAGGGTACTGCTGGGGAAACTGCTCAAGTACACTATGTTGGGCTATGGGGTGTGGGGTGTGGATGAAGTTGGGGTGCCCCAGGGGCTGGGGGCTGTTGTACATCTGGGGTGCCATGTAAGTAACCCTCTGAGGGTGTTGTGTGGCTGCTGCGTGTCTTTGGGGTGCGCTATGTCCTGGTGTGGTGCTGTGGGTTATTGCGCCAGAGTGCAAAGCCATTTGAACTACAAGGTTGGCGGTTCAAGCTCACCAGCTGCTCCTTGGAAACCCTATACAGGGTCGCTATGGGTCGGAACCGACTCAACAGCACTTCACAACAACTGTGTGCTGCGTGGGCCTCCCAGGCTCAGCAGGGGCTCCATGGGAACTGGGAGACCGCCCCTCTTGGTTTCCATGGCAACAGCAGGGCGGGGCCAGGAAACACTAGCTCAGGAAGGAAGACCGGCAGAGGGAGCCTGGGCTGAGCAGGCGCCACAGTCTGTCCGGTTACCCGCCCGGCCTGCGCCCGTCCAGCGTACCTCTGCCCGAACCACCCTCCTCCCACCCTCGCCACCCCGGGCTCAGGCCTGTGACTGAGTGTCCTGGGTCCTGTGGTGTGAACCCCACCCCCACATGGTTCTGTGTGCCTTGACTGGGCTGACCCCTCCCTCCCCGCTGGACTCTAGGTTGACACTTCCTTGGGGGAACCCTGGCTATCAGTCAGGGAGAGAGTAGCCAGGGCAGACCTCGGAGCAGAGTATGGCGGGATCCAAAGCCATGTGTTGCCTAACAGTTTGTCCTGGCTTGACCATGGGTCATCTATCCTGAGTAACCCCACCACGTTTGCTCAGGGGCAGGGTAGTTTCATTCATTCATTCATTCAGTCAGTCAGTCAGTCAGTCATCAGTGGTCCCCACCAAGGTCGTCCTGTCCTGGGAGAATTCAGATTTTGCAGTGAACAGATCCTGCCCATGGGAGAACAGACATACAGAAAATCCACATACCAGTCTTGGGGTCCCTGGCAGAGAAGAGCTATGGAGAAATGAGATGTTGGTGAAAGGAATGGGGTGTTCAGGAAGTCACTGCCTCCCATCACTGAACCCGTGTCTGAAGGAAGCATGGGATGTGCTAGAGGCCTTTGGAATTGTGGAGGCCATGTTCTAGGCTGAGGGGGAGCTTTGCCAAGGTCCTGGGGTAGGGAAGTCAGGCTGGGTCAGACCACCACGGAAGGTGGTGTGCCTGCACCCAGGAACAGAGAACAGAGGAGGCAGGGAGGGGCCAACATGTGGGGCTTGGGTGGTGGTGATGGTGTTTTTCTTTCTCCCATAGGAGATGCAAGGCCTTGGGAGGGAGGGAGCAGAATAGGGGGTGGTCTCACTCAGCTTTCCAAGCCTCTCTCTGGAGGAGCCCATGGTGCTCAGTGAGGGGCAGACCTGCAGATTTCTCCCACAGCTCACCCCCACCCTTGCCCACTGTCCAGGGCCCCTGGAGAGGGGGAGGGTGGAGTGGCCGCCAGGCTGGCGGGCTGGCAGGCTGGAGGGCGGCGTTTCTGGGAATTGTGTTGGGGGAAATGCATTGTTAGAGTTGAACTGAAGCAGGCAGCCCTGCTGCCTCTGGGGGATGCCTTGTGCCCTCCCCCCACCTCTGGGGGGCGCACACATTGCCTCTTACGGAGGGAGCTGGGCCTGGGCCAAGGCTGTGGGCTGGGACTTTCTGGGAGCCACTGCCTTGGGCAGGCAGCTCTTTCCATTCTGCAGACTAGAAGACTGAGACCCAGAGAGCAGGCTGTCTGTCAGCAGTGGGCAGAGCCAGGAGCTGCTAAGTAGGGGTATCTTGCTGGACCTAAGGCCCTGGCCAGAGGGGCTGGGACCCAAAGGAGGCCTAGATACGGTTGTTTGGGCCCCTCAAAGCCCCCCCCCCCACTCCCCCACAGTAGGGAGGGTCTGGTGGACTGGACATCCAGGAGAGGGGTGGGGGTTGGCCCGGGGTTTCAAGGCTGTGGCTTGCCTAGGGCAGCGCCCCCCATGGCTATGGGAAGTGGGGGGTCCGTGTGAGCTCAGCTGCCCCAGCCTTCCCACCCAGCCCCACCCAGTCAGAAGGGAAGCTCAATGCCGGTCCACTGGGGTCATGGCCAGCCTGGGCGGGAGGGGGTGGGGGACACAAATAGAAAAATAATGACCCGGGCTTCCGATGTCTCTCTCACGTGGCTAAGGCAGGAGGGGCTGAAGGCTAGTGGGAAGGAGCACATCTCTGGGCCAAAGTGCAGGCGGCATCTCACAGGTCCCCGCTTGGGTGTGGGGTGTGTCTGCCCCCCCGCCCCGCACCTCCCCCCCCACCAAGCTCCCAGGACAGGGTTGTGGTCCTAGACAATGATTTCTGAGGGCTGATCCATGAGTCTCCGTGGACCTCACTTGAAGCTGCTTGTGGGAGATAATGTATGAGGACTCCCTGAACGTAGGGGCTCTGAGGCCATGGGAGGCAGACCCCTCCAATCTCTCAACTTTCAGCTGCTTCTGCACGATTGTACTGCGGCCCCTTCCTCCTCCACTCACCCATACCTGGCCCTGCAGGGCTGCATCACATCGGTGGTGGGGGGACCTGAAGGGGGCTGACCCAGAAGCTGATGAATCTGAGCTGAGGCCACCTCCACCAGGCAGAGCACTGCCACCATGTTTGTTTACAGTGAAAACCTCGGAGGGCATGACTCCTTGGACCCTGGTGGGGAGCACATATGGGGGGAGTGAGGGATCAAGCTGGGGACATGATGAGTTAAAAACTATCAGTAGGACTTCATCTGGAGCTGAGGGGTCCTTGCAGAGACCAGAGGGTGGAGGGTCCTTGCAGAGCCAGGGGTGGAGGGCTGGGGGCAGTTGGGGAGCTCCAGTGAGGAGGGGTCTGGGGCAGGATGTGAATGGTCCGATAGGGGCTGAGAGTTCAGATATGGGGTGCCCTTTCCACTGGAGCCCAGCACAGCCCTCCAAGGTCCCACTGAGTAGACTAGAAGGCCCCCATTACTGACTCACCCCTGCCATCTAGAGCCCAATGCTTACCACTCACTCAGCCCTGGGCCACAGCTCTTCCTGAGGCTGAGTCTCCCCATGCTAGACCACAAGGGGTTTGTCACAGGGTGGAACTGTGGTCTTCAGACCTCACCCCATCACCCTGTCCACCTTGTTACCACCCCTGCCTGAGCCAGGTCCCCCAGCAGGAGCATTCTATCAGTGACCTCGAGTCAGCTCAGCATACCTGTTGAGGCCTATGTTCCTAAGGCAACTTGATATACCCCCTGAGGTCTCACAGACTGGTGCTCTAAGACCAAGCTGTAGAGCTCCTTCCTGCTGGTCCCTGAATGAGGACAGCCCCAAAGCTGGTCTGTGGACCTCTGGCTAGTCTGCTTCTTGATATGGTCAGTCACAGGTCCTCAAAAGAGTTGTTGAATGGTGTGGCTGCAGCCTCTCCAGGTGCCCCTAAGATCCTGCACAGACTCAGACCATGACATTTGGGCTACAAGGACCTATGGGGCTGGGCTGTTTTTCACTTCCTGCTGCTGGGAAGCTCATGTGTACCTCCTTAATAGCAGCCCAGCCTGTTTGGATACTCCACCTTTACCTGGCCTCAGGGTTCCTTGGCCTGAACTTCAGTGATCTTAGCTGACTTCCTCCCCCAGAACCACACACCCTCCAGCAAACCATCCAGCATGGCCATGGGCAGACCTTTCTGTGAGTGTGGGGAACTGCCCTCCAGAAGCAACTGATAACTGGGATCCTCGAGCCAAATCCAGGCCTTTTTCTCAGTTACAGCACGAATGAACTCTTATTCACCTGAGGGAGAGACTGAGGCACAGAGCCAGAGCGGCCACTGCCTTGCCTAGGGAGGCTCGAAGGGTGGTGATGGGGTTGCTAGCCAGTTGGCAGGTAGACTCTCAGCTGATGTTCCATCCTTGAGTACTTTTCTATTGTTTCACTTAGACCCAACATCTCTACTTGAGGTGGTGCAAACATGAGGCCCATTGTGAACGTGGGGAAACTGGGAGAGACATCAGGTATAAGCTCCACGGCAACTGGACACACACAGGCCCAAGGGGCACCTCGCACGCCGCAGCGCTTCCTGCCGTGGTCCAGGCCCTCAGTTCTCTTCACCTCCTCGCGGGATCTTGGGAGACCGCGAGTCATCTGGCCACGCAAGTTCCTAGAGACAACCTGCATCGGGACTACATTTCCCAGTAGGCCGCACGTGCAGGGGCGCCTGGGCGTTGTGGTCCGATCGGGCCACGCGTGCGTGGGGCTGGCGCACGGGTGGACTACGTATCCCAGGGTGCAACGCGGCCGCCGCGGGAGCGGGGGTTTGAGCCGTGGGTTCTGGTCGCAGAAGGCTGCGGTGGGTTACCGCGGCTGCATCTGACTCTGAGACCGGCGGGTGCAGGAGGTGGCAGTGGCTGAGGCCAGTCTGAGCCGGCGGCTGGCCGGCGCAGCGGGCGGGCACTGGGGCGTACCCCGGGGCGATGATGGGCAAAGAGGAGGAGATTAAGCGAATCGCCCGGAGGTTGGACAAGATGGTCACCAAGAAGAGCGCGGTGAGGGTCGCGGGCCGCTTGGGCCCCAGGACCTCAGCCTTGCCGAACCCCCGCCGAGCCCATGGAGCCCCGGTTCGGACTGGGAGACACCCGGATGGCAGGATGAGCCCTTACCCTGCCAGAGACTCTGGGGACGCGGGAGACCCCTACCCAAGACCAAGATCCCCGGCCCCGGGGCTAGCCCTAGACTCACCTCTGAGCCTGGGTAGAGGCCACCACCCATGGACCTGGTTGCCTAACCACCGCCTGGACTGAGACCCTCCCCGCTGCTCCCCACCCCTCCAAGACCTGGGTTCCGCCCCCTTCTCAGTCCCCAACTCCAGATCCAGGCCTGGCTGGAGGAGACCCTAGTTGGCTGCCCTTGTCCAGGACTTGCGAACCCCTTTCCTGCCTTCTTCCTTTACAGCAACCCCTTGGGAGCCCCAGCTCAGTGCCCTCTGCTTAGCCCTGGTCCCCCCACCTTACTCAGACTGCAGAGCTTAGCATCTTTCTCCTAGTCCCCCACCCCCTTCTGCTTGCCACCCTGTCATACCCCTTCACAAGCAGCAGAATCCTTTTCAGCTGCCCCCTTCTCCCATCTGTCCCATCCCACAAAGTCCAGTTGTTTTAGCCAGGACTCAGCCCGCAGGGACTGGGGTGGCTGGTTGTGTAGAACCCCTCAGGGGAATCCCTACACTATGTGAGACCTGTCAGTAGGAGCCTGCTAGGCTGTTCAAGCGGCTGCTGAGCCCAAGCCCTGCTTGTCTAGTGGCCTGTCCCTCTGTCTTGCTGTCCTTGTACCCTTGAAGCCCTCGTGTCATGGCATTTGAGAGAGAGTAGGCCTGCTGAGGGTCTGGGTCCACAGCTCCTCTCCTCCAGGCTTCATGACCTTAGCAGTCTTCGGATTGTTTCAGGAATAGTTCTTGATAGGGATCGGTCCCATGGGGTGCAATGTGGGGCCTGCCAGCTGGGGACAGCGGCAGCCAGGGCCCAATAAACCTTAATAATCCTTCAAGAGACCTGTTCTCTCCCTCCAGACTGGAAGCCCCATGAGGCAGAACCAAAGGTTTGGAGTAGACTGAGGGACTAGGCAGCCACCTCAGGCTACACAAGGGCTGTGGGGATTTGGGGTGGCTTTTTGGTCTCTGGTGACGGTGACTCTGGGTTGGGGGTCTGTGGGCCCCTGATCCAGGAGGGGCTACGTCTCATTCATACATTCAGTCACATCCTTGGAGGCTGTGGGCAGAGTCTCCTATGGGCTGTAGGGGTGACCGCAGGCAAAATACAGGCGCTCACTTGAGGAGGGGGGGCACTGGGAGAACTGGAAAGGTGGAGTGGGCAGTGGGGAGATGACAAGGGGACACTGCCCAAGGTGCCTGGCAGAGCCATCTGTCCCCATAGAGGTCCCAGTGCATAGCCCTGGGTGGGATGAGGGGAGGTCTGCAGCCTGAATGGAGCTGTTGCCCCAGTTAGGGGTATGCCAGGCTAACCCTCTTGCCTGGTGCCTGGGCTGCACGATGTCCTTGGCTCCCACACCTTGGTGGTGGGCTGTTTGTCCCTCCTTTTGGGGGGAGACAAATGGAGACTCATCAGTGCAATCGGACCCATGTCTGTGGAGGAAGGATGTGACATGGGAGCGAACACAGTTTTCAGTAGGTGCCTTCTCGCTGAGGAGACGCAGAGAGAGGGGCAGAGATCCTGAGGCTGCCCTACACATTGGGGGACAGTGGGAGCGCTGTGCCTAGAGTCTGGCTAGGGACAAGCGCGGGGAGGAGACTACTGGAGGTGGAGACACAGGGAAGTCAGAATCAGGCCTGGGACTGGACGGTGTTGCTGTGGAGGGCCCCCGAGTGTGGCCTGAACAGTAGACATACCTCTGCCTTTTCTGTACCTGGAGTGAGGCTGCCCATGGCGCATAGGGGGAGCTTGGGGGCAAGATCTGGATTTGGTAGTGTGACATGGTGCTGGTGAGTTGGGAAGCCACGGGTCATGTTGCAGCTGCTGCCCAGGTGGGGATTCTGTGTCACCCCCGCCCCCAGGTGTGGGAGGCGGGGTCTCACTGACCTTTGATGGGGGTTTTTGAGTCGAGACCCTCCTTACTCCAGGAAGGAGCCATGGACCTACTACGGGAGTTGAAGGCCATGCCCATCACACTGCACCTGCTGCAGGTCAGTTCCTGGGTCCTGGACAGGGATGGGAGCGGGAGGAGACACCGTGGGCGGAGGGAGGTACTACCGGTGGGGAGGGTGTTCACACCTCCAGAGCTGATACAAACCCTGCTGCATGGGGGTTCTGGCTCTGGCCCCCCGCCCGGCCTCCCTCAGTCCACCCGCATTGGGATGTCGGTCAACGCCCTGAGGAAGCAGAGCTCCGACGAGGCGGTCATCACGTTCTCCAAATCACTCATCAGATCCTGGAAGAAACTCCTGGGTACGGAAGGAGGGACGGTCAGACAGACAGGCGCTGGGTTTGGGGGACAGGAGGCGGGGGGAGGGTTGCTCAGGCTTCTGAAGGGAGCAGGTGGTGGCGGCAGGGCCCAGCTAAATCAGGCCATGTGGAGGAGGTGGTCAGCAGAGTGTGGACACTATCTTGCAAAGTGGGCCGCCTGGGGGGTGGGGGGAGCTCTGGACTGGGCAGACACCTGGGGATGGTTGTGGGACCAGCATGTAACCTGCTGCTGTTTGAGGGAAAGGTCCCCAGAAAGGGTCCTGGGGTTCAGGAAGAGCCTTGGTCCTGGTCACCTGCTTCAGATCAGGACTCTGGTTCCACGGACACACCTTAGAGTCATTCTGGGCTGTGGGCTGGTCCCCGGAAGCATCTGGGGAGGGGGCACTGTAGGGCTGGCATGGATGGCAGAGGTGAGAGGGGCTGGGAGGTCCCTTAGTAACCCCTAGCAGCTTCCCAGCCCATGGTGTGACTTGCTGGAAAACAAAGTATGGCTGGACCCACCCCTGGAGGTGGCTGGCTGCTTGCCTCCCTCGGCTCTGGGCTGCCCTGCCGAGCCCCTTTCTACTGTGTTTTGGCAACTGCAGATGCTTCAGACACTAAAGCTGGGGAGCAGACGAGTGCGGCCCTGGCCTCACCGCCCTCAAAGGATGCCTCGGAGGCAAAGGCCCACAGGTGTGCCTGGGGGGCAGGTGTGAGCTGTCCTGGCTCAGCCCCACCCACCTGTGGGTGCCCTGTGAGGGGTGGTCTTCTTCCCTTCCAACCCTCCTGGGGCCGGTCTCACGGTCAAGTCCCGCCCAGGATGCTACTCAGTGGTATTAAAGACCGCCTTCCTGCCCAGCACAGGGGCTGCTCAATTCGGGAACTGGTCAGGCCCAGGTGATGGTGTGCAGAAGCCAGATGGAGCAGGCAGGAGGGAGGGTGTATGGGGGGGGGGGCTGGGGCTAGAGAGCAGATGGGGTAGGCATAGAGGGGATGAGAGGTGATGGGGGCGCCGAGGGGAGAGGGCAGGACCAGTGTAGACAGAGGCCTGTAGGGGTACCCAGCGGAGGGAGGGCTGGTGGGGAAGTGACTGGGCAGGGTGCCAGGATCAGGGGTGGCACAAGGTCTGGAGCAGCTAGATCCCTCCCGTCTTCATACCTGCCTGTGTTGTTTTGCCTTGAGAAGCCTGCTGCTCCAACTGGCTTCCATGGGACCTTGGAGCATGGGACTCTGGTGTGTGGGGGGAGGAAGGGCTGCGTAACCTGGCCAATCAGTCTGCCCTTGTGGGGGCCCGGCCTTGTGAGAGGGTATCCCTACTGGTTTTATACCTACAGAGGTCACCCGGGAGCTAACTTTGGGTGAGTCAAACTCTGCCAAGTCAAGTGGGGGTCTTTGCCCCTTTCCTCGTCTTGTCGTGGTGGTGGCTGCTGTCAGTTGGCAGACAAAGGGTCCCCATGATTGGCCGTGTCCTAGGTCTCCCTGAGGGAGAGTGGGGCTGTGGTCTGCCTTCTTGGCGTTGGCACCCCCCTTGGACACCCTGGTCCCATTTCTGGCACCTCTTTGCCCCAGCTTGGGGTGCTGTGGGGTGCACTTAGGCCTGTGTCTGAACCCCATGGGTGGTCCCTCTCCAGTCGCAAGAGGCCGGAGCCACCCAGGACACCGTCAGCTCCTCGGATGACCACGTTTCCTCCGACGCCCATCACCTGTGATGCTGTGCGCAACAAGTGCCGAGAGATGCTGGCTGCTGCCCTGCAGACTGACCGTGAGTTCCGGCCATCTTCAGAGGGTCCTTGAGGGACAGCCTCTGCTCCTTCACCAGCCTCAAACTGCCCACCTTAGGTGGGCAGGTGTCTCCTCTTGTTGCCTGGTGTGTTGGGTGGGTGGAGGGGCCATCGGGCACGGTCAGTCAGGCCTGCTTCTTGTAGACGACCATGTGAATATCGGCGCAGACTGTGAGCACCTGTCCGCCCAGATCGAGGAATATATCCTTCCTGTGGGCCTGCAGGCTGGGGCTAGTATGGACTGGCTGGTCTTGGCTCCCCCTGGTGACCTCTGGTGGGTACTGCCAGCTGCTCTGTGCCTTGGGCAGGGCAGTCACCTTCTTTCATGGAAGGGTCAGGGTCTTAGTGGGGTTAGGGTTAGGGTTAGTGGGGGAGTGGTCCAGCGCCTCCGCTTGCTGCCAGACCAGGGTGGTCAACCCTGCTCCGAGGGGCTTGTCCTAACAGTGGTGGCAGAGCATATTGGCTGAGTGGCTTCTGGTTCTAGCCCAGTCCCCTAAAGCCCCTGTGGGGAGTGGATGCCCATGGAGAACTTAAGTCCATCACCCTTGCGACGCCCATGGGTCCTTAGCAGCCACACGCATCTTCCGCGATGTGGGGAGCACAGATGTCAAGTACAAGAACCGCATCCGGAGCCGCATATCCAACCTGAAGGATGCCAAGAACCCAGGGCTCCGGCTGAGCGTGTTGCGAGGTGTCATTGCACCCCAGCGCATCGCCGAGATGACCTCCGAGGAGATGGCTAGCGATGAGCTGAAGGAAATCCGCAAGGCCATGACCAGGGAGGCCATCCGGGAGCACCAGATGGCCCGCGTGGGCGGTACTCACACCGACCTTTTCACCTGCAGCAGATGCAGAAGGAAGAGCTGCACCTACACCCAGGTGGGCCCCTGTCTGGAAGCCAGCCTCTCCTGTGACCCACCTCACATCTGCTTGCCAGGCAGTTGGGGACACTTGTCCAATCCAGGGGGCGGTGGTGGATGGATGCAGAGGCGCTCTGAGGGGGCCATACAGACCTCATGAGGCATCCAGGTGAGCAGATGAGGGGTCAGCAGATGGAGTGTGTTCCCTCCTCCCCGAACCTCAGACGCCGCTGCAGTAGTCCACCGCATACCTGCCATACTGGTATAGTCTGTAAGTCATAGAAGATAGCTCCCAGATGACAGAGCATAATGACCAGGCAGAGCCCCTTAATTCCGGGGTGCCCCCTTCAGCCCCTCACCACAACCCCCAACTCCACAGGTGCAAACCCGAAGCTCTGACGAGCCCATGACCACCTTTGTTGTCTGCAACGAGTGTGGAAATCGTTGGAAGGTGGGTTGAGCCCTGGCTTTGGGGGGGCTGGCAGGGTAATGCGTGTGGGCTGCCCTGGCGAGCTGGGCCTGAGTCTCCCAATGACTCCCCACAGTTCTGCTGAACCTGTGCAGGAGCCTGCAGCCTCTACTGCCCTCCCCGCCCATCGACTCGGCTTCTCTGGACCCTAAGTGGTCCAGCCCATCCCTGTGCTGCCTGGTGTGCACCTGTCCTCGTTGGTCCAAATGATTAAATGTTTCTGTTTGCCACCCTGATGCCGTTGACCTTCAGTCTGAGTGGGTGTCCCTCTGCCTGGGTCCTGGTCCAGCACATGGGAGGCTGGGAGGGGAGGGTCAGAGGCTGGAGCCTCTGGAAGCAGGCAGGGACCCCTCAAGGGCCATGGTTTGGACCAGGCTGCTGGGTGGGTGGCACCTGAGCCTGGAGCCCCCTGGAAATCCTGGTGAGGAGGCTGCTGCCCTAACTGGGAAGGACAGGTAGAAGTAGACACAAGAGAGACTTTGCTTTAAAAATACCTTCAGTAATAAGACATCCTGTCATTGGAGATGGAGATAAATATGAAAACTTCTTTTTTGTGTGATAAAACATAGAGTAAAGGACATTTCCAGCTGTAAAGTCCTTAAACAAAATAGAAATGAGGCTCTTGTTTTTGTGAGCCCAGTTCTGGGGATGGGTCTGATCCTGGAGTGCAGACAGCTCTTGTCTAGGACTCCGTGAGTTATAAAAATAGACTAAGTAGAGGTTCTTCACCAAAGGCAATTCGTGGGCCCAGAGGTGCCTCCTGGAGGGAACTTCGCCCCTGTGGGGCAGTGAGGGATGAGCTGCCGGGCCAGCTGGTGCAGGGCTCCCACACCTGCCCCTGCCTGGCCTCGTGGGCAGCGCCTGTAGGCAGCGGCGGGACTCTCTGTGACTGGACCTCCACGGGCTGTGGAAGCCTGCACGGGGCCCTTGGGTCCTGGTGCTTGAGGTGGACTCAGGCCTCCGAGGATGATGGGCTGGGCACATGGAGTAGCAGGGTGCGGTAGGCTGGGGAGCCCAGGAAGCGGGGATAAGAGTCCCGGTGCATGAGCGTGTAGATCTGCAGCTGTGCATCATCAAAGGTGTGCGCAGACGGCTCCTGCATTCTCTTGTTGATGCCCTCCCGGACGCGTGAGTCCAGGCTCACCTGAGGATGGGTAGGGTGGGGCCGGGGGTCAAGACAGCACCCCTACCCAACCCACCTGACCCCACCCGCCTGGTGCCACCCACCTCCTTGGGGGACAGGATAGACACGTAGTCCTCGTAGATGAGACGCGCCTTCTCATCCACCACATGCTGGTTGGCCTCAGCCTTGAGCTCCTCGCAGGCCAGCCAGAAAAGCATGTTTTCCTCGCTGTACTCTGTGCGCAGGAACTCTCGGAACACGTTTCGTCCTGCTGGGCTGTGCATCAGCTTGTCGAAGGACTGTGCCCAGCTGCGCACCTCCTCAGGGCTTGGCGGGGTGCTGCAAGAGGGCAGTGGTCAGACTGGACACCTTGACCAGTGCTGCCCTTTGACACACAGACATACATATGCATGCACATAAGTCCACAGCCACCCCATGTCCGAATGCCTGTGTACACACGGGCTAGCTGGGACTCACCAGGCTTCGCAGCTGGGCAGGGGCTGCAGCTTGGTCTCCCGAGAGGTGCGCCACTCTCGCCGTCTGGCTTCATTCCTAATAGCAGAGCAAGGTGGCAACTGCGTGGGCTCATGGGACAGCCACACACATGCAACATGGTCTTCAGCACATGGTTACACGCCCCTGTGAACACTCGACACAGGCATATGGGCCCTCAGCACCTGGCTAGACTCGGCCCAGAGCAGTGCAGCTAGGCAAACATGGACGTGTGTGCAGAGCTATGTTCATAGGCAACCACCGCAGAGGGTCAGTCACCGAGTCCTCGCTTCTCTCATAGGCCTCCTGGGAAGGGTGTACACTTGGCTCCCTCTGAGTCCACTTGCCTTCTCTTCTGCGGTATCTGGCTGCTGACCCCCACTGTCTTCTTATTGGGACCCTTCCTGGGCAAGCCCTTCCTTCCAGAGGGTCCTGACCTACCCCCAACTGCAGGCCTACCTTGTGCCCACCTGTCGGGCCCCAGTATCTGACCCCAGGGACACCTCCTCTCCACACTTGATGGTGTAGGCCCCACGCTGCCATCTCCTCAGCACTAGCACCCCTGCCTCCAGAGACGACCCCCAACCTAAGTCTTCTTCATCCCTCTATGCCACCTCTCCCTGCCAGCCAGAACCATCAGCAAGTCCTAATGACATCAGTTCCCACTGCTGATCTCCAGGGGTTCCTGCCTGGGCTCAGGTCTTGGTTTCTCATAACTTGACATTTTATTTTGGGTTGCTATGGCCCACCCCCAACTCCATAGCCAAGCCTGAAACTTGAACAGGGTCAAAGTCCACAGCCTGTACCCCCGTCCTCGCTGCAGAAACGCATTCTCATCTCTGCAGGCCCCTCGTCATGGCCTGCAGAGTCTGGGTTCCTGTCTCGTGCTCTTCTGGGTGCCCCTACTCGACGCCCGGCTTAGAGTGGTCTTGATAAACATGTACCACACATGCACAAGCAGGTGCAGGTCTGATATCTACCCCATAGGCGTACCTTTGGCATACCCACCTTTCCTGGAGGGGCCGGCAAGGTAACGGCATTTTGTCTGTGGCCCATAAAGGGCTTCAGAAGCTTGTTGAGTGGCCCCACCCCTGCCTACGCAGACCCCCTCACTATGTTTGTCTGTACCCCTTGACTCCCACGTCCCCTCTTTGCCCCGGGCCCACATACCAAGAGCAGCTGCAGCAGCAACACCAGCACAGACAGCAGGGGTTCCGGCTGGGGGCCGCCGGGGCTGGCGCATCATGACTGGACATGAAGGGGGGCTGGTCCGCCTCCTCTGGCCCTGTGTGCTGTGGGGATGGTGGCTCAGCCTGGACACACCAGCCTGGCCCTTCCTCCCTTGTCCACCAGCCCACCCTGAGGGGCCGTGGTCCCTGGGACATGAGGTGTTCAGGGGTCTCCCAACTCCTTGTTGCCCCTGCCCTAGCTTGGGCCCCCCATTTTCCCCAAGGGACGTACCTGTGTCTCAGCTTCATGCGGGGTGGGCATGGGTGGGCTCCGTGGTGTCTGCTCTGGAACGCTCACCGCAGCCAGGAATCTGGGGGAGAGGCCAAGGCTCTGATTGAGAACCAGCCCTTGGGGATCCTGCTGGGGCCCCCTCCTCCCCAAGCCTCTGCCTCCCAGGCCCCGGCTCTCCCCATCCGCCTGCGTGTCCCAGGACTGGGAGTGCACCTTAGTGAGGAGGGGGCTGCAGCAGTTTCTGGCCCCGCATCCTAGTCTGACTGCTAGACGAGCCAACCACGGGAGGTTCCGGGGCACCCCCACCAGCTTAGTCCCTGGGAAGCCGGAAGCCTGGGTTCCTCTTTCTTGGTTTCCAGCTCTCTGCCCCTCCCCTAGGGGGCTAGGGGCCTCTCGAGAGTCATGGGGTGGCGGTTAGGTTAGGCATTCAGAGACCTCCCCCCCAGCTACCTCCATCCTGGGCTTTCTGCTCAGACTGGGGGGGAACGGGGCTTCGGAGGGTTGCGCCCCACAGAGTCCCACATCTTCCTGTAAGCCTCAGAGAATTTTGACACTTGAGACTTAGCAAGGCAGCAGGTTGGGCCTGCAGCAAGGAGGATTTAAGTGGGACTCTGGGCAGGACTTTAAGAGAGTTTGTATGGGTGTCTCAGAGAAACTTGCCCTGGCTTACCTGCTTTGGTCTTCGGTGCTGCCTCTGTCTGCAAGCCCCCATGTTCCCCCAGGAACCCCTGTCCTGATGCCTTCTTACCCTGTACCCAGCATCTCGGCCGCACCCCCACCCGCCTGCTGCCTCCAGGCAGCGGAAACCGCTGTGGCCAAGTGGCCCACCGCAGGGTGTGCCAGGCTGGGAGTGCCAAGCCGGGGGAGGGGGTGCCTGATCCTCAGTTGGGCCTAGGGTCCCTGCATAGGCCATCCTGTCTTGGTTGTGACAGGAGTGGCTGGTGCAGGCAGGGGTACTAGTCCTAGAACCTGGTCAGTGTGCACCCTGCAGGTGTTTCTGAGTGTCTCCAGCCTATACCCACCACACTTGACTCTGTGCCACCCTGTTTTCTTATTATCCCCCTGCCTGGCTCCTGCTCTTGGTTTCTGTCCCACTGCCTTTTGGGCCTCTAGGGTGGGGGAAGGTGAGAGCTCTAGGGACCTGCTCTTGGGGTGGGGCCTTGGAGTGACAGTACTCAGAAGCCATGATGCTGATCTCCAGCCTGGGCATATATATATGGACGACTGGCTCTGATGGGCACTTTGGGGCACAGGGTCCTCTGGGGCCACAGCCCTCACCATCTGCCCAACTTCTCTGACCCCATGAGGGGCTCTCAAACTGGGGCCTGCAAGCTCCACAGTTGGGAAAACAGCATGCTTTCCTGGGGGTCAGGCTTCTAGGAAGAGGAAGGGATGTGGCACTCCCTGAGATCTGGGAGCTGTACCCCCAGACAGGGCAATGACTTCCTCCTCGGTGCCACGGCCACTGTGAGTGGGGCAGTCCCAGCCTCGCCCCTCCCTCAGTGCCAACCTGCTCGGAATTGGGACGAGGTGGATTTGTCTGGGGTGCAGAGCCAGGTGGTGGGGGCCAAGTCCCTTCTTCCCTAGGCCTTTGGCCTGGTTCCTACACCTGGTTTCCTGTGCCCTCCCCAGTCTGCTGTGGCTGCCTCATGTCCTGAGGTACCATGGGTGGCCTGGGTTGCTTCCTCTGTCTCCTGGGGGCATGGGGTTTGAACTAGGATACTCCTGCCTCTGATGCTGGTGTTCTGGGGGCTCCTCCCAGTCTCCAATCTCCAGGCTTTGTCCCTGAAGCTGGGATGGAGCGGCAGGACAGGCAGCCAGTTCAGCCTCTGGGGACAGTTTCCCCTGAGAGTTGTGGCTGCTCCACACCACAGATGGAAAAGGAACGTCCAAGTCTCCCAGTCCAAAAAAAGAATAAGAAAATGTGACAGTCCCAGAAAGAAATGTCACAACCTTTGGGGGTGGGGGTGGTGGACCACTCCGATTGACCCTACCCAGTGCCCTCTCCTACTTGGTATCCTGGCCTGCTAGCCTGGTTTGGGGAGCCCCAGCTTAGCACTCTCCAAGGAAGGCCATGCCACCCAGCCCTGGTGACCCAGTCTTGCAAGGGTGGGGACAATCCCTCCCTCGAAGTCTTGACTCTGTCTTTTGAAGCTCCCACCCCACCTTAAGAAACACTCCCTGGCCCGGCACCCCACTCACCAGCGACCCAAAAGGTGGGGGGCGGGAGGGGCCAGGTTCGCTCTGGCCCCACCCTGGCCTCCGAAGGGGCGTGCACTGCAGTGGGGACCGGAGTCAGACGGCAGGAGGTACTCCTGCGGCGTCTAAAGGGGCCGGTGCTGAAGCCACGATCGGCTGGACTCGGGGCGCAGGGCCTCCCCGCCGGTTCACAGGATGGAGCAGCTGCCAGATCCAACTGGGGCGGGGGCGGAGGGCGTCCCGCCCCGGCCCCTCCCCACCGGGACGAGGCGGGCGGGAGACGCGGAAACCTGGGTCCTTCCGGCCCCCACCTTTGAGCAATCGCTCCCCGGGGCTTAGAGCTGCAGAAAAAGGGGAACCGGTACAGTGCCCTTCCCCCGCGCGGGGGAGTCCAGTCCCACTACAGCCCAGGGTCCACGTGGGCCTGGGGTGGAAAGTCCGGGTGCAGCCCCGAGACGCCGCTTCCAGGTCTCTGCCTCCCCCCAATACACACATGCCCAGACCAGGAGGGGAGCCGAGTCCTAGGGCCGCGCGCGCGCACTCACCGGCCGCGCTCCCGAGGCGCCGCGCCACTGCCGCCCGGCCCCGCGCGCCGCGAGGTCCGGCCTGAGCTCGGGGAGGGGGCGCGGGGCGCATGCGCAGGCTCTCGGCCGCACTTCCCCAAAGCTCGGAGCCGGGACTTCCTCGGGCGGGAGGCGCCCGCCCCTCCTCGCCCGCCCGCACTCTAGCCGGCGCTCTTCTGTCGCCCCCCGTAGGTTCCTTCATGTCTCCCCGCCCAGTTCTGCGCGGAAAATGGGGTGCTGGTTCTGTGGTGGGTTGGGGTGCCCTGTGACCCCCTCCCTACTCTTCACAGATGGGTCATTCATGTAGGGCGTCCTTGAGACTCCTGGCCTGTGTGTGGGCGCCAGCGAGAGCCACCCCCCTAGGCCCCAGGACCCCATGTCCGCTTTCCTAGCTTGGTGAGACAGAGGTCCCTGGAAAGGGCTGACGTGTGGACCTGCCCTTTCTGAGACTCGACGCCTCATCTGTGAAGTGGGTTTAAGACGCGCTTTCACCATCCTGGGGGTGGAGCGTTCTATGCTGAGGGGCCCGAGGTGTTGGTGAGTGTGGGCTTTTGTGTGAAGTCCACCAAAGGGCTAGTTTCCGGGGCCTGGCTGAGTTCTTTTGACCCCTTTTAAAATCCAGAGCCTTAACTGTCCCCTTTGTCACAAATGCCCTTTCCCTTCCAGCGGCTGTCTTTCCTGGCCCTTTGCAACACAGCACAGCTGTGGGTGAACTTCCTTATCCCAGAATGCTCTGGGCCAGTGTCAGTGTGGCCCTGACCACTCTGGAGACATCTTTCTGTCCCTGGCCCCTTCCTGCTGTTCTCATGCCTGGAAGGCCTCGCCCCGCACCAGGCAGGGTTCTCTTCAGGAGTGTCTGTCCACTGCACAACCATACCTGAAGCTGGGCAGGCTCTTCAAGGGGCTAGCGAAGTAAGGGTAGTACATGTTTCCGGATTACTGGGCAGATGTAGGGGTGTTCAGGGACCCCAAGTGAAACAGACCTGGGAGGGGACTGTGGGGGTAAGCAGGCAGAGGAGAGAGGGCCGGTGGTGCTCAATCAGCGAGTCAGGGGGTCTTGCACAGCAAAGATGGTGTGAAGAAGAGGGGGGATGTGAATGGTTCTCTAGGGACAGCAGGGAGGCCAAGGGTCAGGTCATAGTGAGATCTGGCCCCACAGGACAGTCCTCATCGGCTTTGGTGATGACCTGTCAGAGGCAATGTGTTCACAATGACCATGGAGGGGACCGCTCCTTATTTAATAGCAGGTGCAGTGCTGAGAGGTAGATGCTGTTACTCCCAAATTTACAGGCGAGGGCTGACCGTGATGGTGAAGAGAGGTGCAGGGGGAGCTGGCACGGGTGGGGGTCAGCACTCCCCTGCCTTCTGGCCACTGCCCCCATCCTCTGGCCATTCCAGTGTGCTGGCCCTTCCCTTTGACTCTGCCTTCCTCTCTGGCGCATACAGATGAACACTCACAGGATGCTGAACCCCCACAGATTGCCACACCCCTTTACAGGAGACTACCTGTGAGGGGGAACCCCTCACGTACCACAGGGGAAGCTGAGACAGTGACCTGCCCAAGGCCTCACAGCTGGTAATGGTGAAGATGGGGTTTGTACTGGGACCCCAAGTCGTCTAGCATCCACATGACCACTTACCTGGCCCTCTCTCAGTACCTTCTGTGGGCAGAAGCCCCCTCCAGACCTCACAGGAATATCTCTGCTGCTTCCCATAGTCCCCTCTGTGTCATGGGGACCAATGCAAGGGATACCTCATGTGCTTACAGGCCCAGCACTGGTTGGAGCAGTCTTGGTGAGTGCCCACATCTTGCCGCCTGTCTAGGACCTGTGCCTGTTTTGGTCTGGCAGCCACTTGGCAGGGACCTGACCCAGGAGACACAGCCAGTCAGATGCAGAGTGGCCTCTCCCATATGGGGGAGGGGACATAGCAGTAAGTGAGAATCCTTATAAGCAATCCTGTGTCCCCTTGTTGGTTGTGGTGGTGGTTCTGTGCTGTGGTGGAGTCGGTTCCAACTCACAGCGACCCTATGTAGGATTTCCGAGGCTGTACACTTTTGAGAGGGAGTGCGGTGGCTCCATACGATAAGCACTGGACTGCCAACCACAAAGTTCAGTGGTTTTAGCCCATCAGCTGTTCCTTGAGAGATAGATGAGGTTTTCTGCTCCCACAAAGATTTAAAAAGCCTCAGAAACTCTATACAGCATTGCTGAGTCAGAACCGACTCGATGGCACTTAGCGACAACAAATCTTTGCAGAAGCAGAAAGTCTCATATTTCTCCCATGGAGCAGCTGGTGGATTCAAACTACTGACCTTGTGATTAACAGCCCAATTCATAATCCATGGCCCTAGCAGGGCTCCTTGACCCTAGTTAGAGGTGAAGAAGAGAGGCTTACAGAGGCAGTTAAGTGACTATGTTTTACTGAACAGATGAGGTCCTCTTAGGTACAACCCTGGGTCCCGGCTTCAGGGAGCTGGGTTGGGATGGCCAGACTGTGATGGTGAAGAGAGGTGCAGGGGGAGCTGGCAGGGGTGGGGGTCAGCACTCCTCTGCCTTCTGGCCACTGCCCCCATCCTCTGGTCATTCCAGTGTGCTGGCTCTTCCCTTTGACTGTCCTCACACAGGATGAACGAGCACATGACCACTCCTGGACAGAGACCACCCCCTTCCCCAGTCTACCTGCCCCCGCCCCTCCCCCAGCCCTCTCTGGCCCCCTCCTTTGTCCACTAGGGCACTGCTCCCTCCTCCATGCTTGTGCTACAGTCTGGGCTTGGACCAAGGCCAAGGGCAGCAGCAGCACCAGAAAGGGTGAAGGGTCAAGAGGCAAGCTGCAGGGGAAGAGGTTGGGCTGAAGGGATGGAGGGCCAGGTCCCATGTGGTCTGGATCCCCTCCTTGATGAACCTGTTCTGACCTCTTCCTTTTCCCCCCCGCGGCTTCGGCCTCCACCTTGTCCTCTGCCTCCACAGGAGCCTCAGCCAGGGAAAGGCTTGTCAACCTCTGTGGAGATACTGGGTGGGGACTGGGAGTGTGGCAAAGAAAAGACCCAGGCTCCCCAAAGCACATGGGGGAGAGCAAATTCTGGAAGCAAATGTCTGTCTGCCAGGGACTTGAGGTTTCTGGGGTTGGGGGTTGGGGGGTGGGGTCTTG